CCGATTAGTAGGACAGTTTCAATAAATAATACATTGCATATTGTTGTCTTGGTGGTTATTCATTGTACAAGATGCAGACATGACATCCTGTCCACAAACACTATTAGAACAAATCTTTCTGTTCATTGAATTAAAAGTAGCTGTATATCTATCCTTTTTTTTTTTTTTTTTTTTTTTTTTTTTTTTTTGCGGAACCAGGGATTGAACTCAGACCCTTGCGCTTGCCAGGGAAGCGCTTATTCCACTGAGCCATCTCCCCGGCCCCATCTATCCTATTTTGAATATACAGATGCAAAATGGTTGTTCATTTGCATCCCCTTTTTTGTTTAGTTTTGTCAGAGAAGGGTATTCCATTGTCATTTAAATATTGTAAGCATGTGAATTCAGAAAAATATTCCGATATAGTCCAGTAGTCCATAATAGTAGTGGATTTCCCCAACTTAAATGTTCATTTGAAACAAAATGGAAAGTTCTTATGATGGAATACTATACATACATCCATAAAAATGCAATAGATAAGAATCATATGTTAATGGGAATATCTAAAAAATGTGGAGAGAGAAAAAACACTGCAGAATGATGTGTATAATACAATAATTTTTGTAAATTTGAATTATAAAAGCTTTCTTGATGAAGTTCAGTACTTTATTTTTTTAATTTTTTTTTAAACAGGGAAATAGATCTTTTATTTTCTTTCTTTCTTTCTTTTTTGGTAGGACAGTTTCAATAATTAACACACTGCATACATTCTTCCTAGTGGTTAATTGCTGTGCAAGATGCGGACATGATATCCTATCTGCAAGTACCATTAGAACAAATCCCTCTATTCATTAAGAGAATGTAACTATATATCTATCCTAACCACTTTGGATACACAGATACAAAATGGACATTCATCTGTATGCCCTTAATATAACTTCTTTTCTCTCTCTCTCTCTCTCTCGGGATCTAACTCAGGATCTTGCACTTGTCAGGCAAGTGTTTCACCCACTGAGCTAGCTCGCTGACCAGGAGCATCATTACAAGTCTGGGGCTGGGAGATGGCTCAGTGGAATAAGCGCTTCCCTGGCAAGGGCAAAGGCCTGAGTTCAATCCCCGGTTCCGCAAAACAAAAAACCTGCAAGTCTGAGCTGCAGTGAGACCCTGCACCAAATACATCAATCAATCAATCACTATGTTCAATTCTTGAGCATATAACTTGAAATGGATTGCTGGAGCTTATGGTAACTGTGTTTAAGTTTCCAAAGCACCAGCACCGTCATGCACCCTCATCAGCAATGTGTGAAGGTACCAACCTTTCCAGATCCTGCCCTTGATTTTTTTTATCATGGCCATCCCTAACTGGTGTGATGTGGTACTGCACCTTGTTTTTGTTTGTATTTAATAAGGGTCTACATGGTCTCGTTACTCGGACTCATAGTAATCCTCCTGTTTACAGCCTCCCAAGTGCTGGGATTACAGGCATGTACCACCACACCCAGTCTCAATCGTCATCTCAGCATGACCCAGTTGCAGGGCCAGCACGGCAGACTGGGGATCGAACCCCTGGCCCCTGCATCTGCCCAAGCAGGTGCTTTAATCCACTGAGCTATTTGGCCAGCCCTGCACTTTGGTTTTAATTTGTGTTCCCCTTGATGACCAGTGATGTCAGGTATCTCCTCTGTAGTTCAGTGGTTTATCTGCATATTTTCTAAGGAGAAATATCTACTAGAAATGATAACAGCATGTAATATAACAACTACTGTTAATTTTCTATTCATATTGTAAAATTCTGCACCATTTTTATTGTTTTATGTTGCTTTGTTTTTGTCTGTGTTTTGTTGTTTTTGGTTTTTTCCTCTTTAAAATAAAATTTTAGAGCTGGTGAGATGGCTCAGTGGTCTAAAGCACCTACTTAGAACAAGCTTAGCAAAGCACAGGGACCATGGTTCAATCCCCCAGCACCACATGCCAGCCCGCCCCGCCCCCTGGTGGGCTGAGCTGGCCACACACACACTAAAT